TCTAAATTAAATTGTACATTCTTTTGTTTTTATAAATTAATGATGAAAATTTTATATTGATGATAATGCATCATTCTCTTGTAATATCTTTTATTAAAAGCAAAATTTATTAAATAATCAATGCTGTAACAGGGAGAAATGGAACGCGACGTCCTTCACGTGACCGATCGACGCGATAATGACGAGTGCTACAATAATTATGTAATATTTTGCCCTGTCATTATATCATTATCTATTATTCTATGTCCAAGCCGTCATAGATAAAATGTAATGAAAGAAGTATAATGTTTTGTACAAATAAAAAAGTAGAAAGGGACAGGCAGATAAGTGAAGAAAATAGAGAAGAAAATCAATAAAGAATCGGTCAAATAAAACACGCCTCAAATCACCCTTTAGTCACTTACCTGACGACAGTTACGCGAATCTCTGCTAATACTAGCGATAAACTCGCCGTTATGTTCATTTTAATTTTTTGAGTTGAAATTTTTGTAGTAAGTATTTTGAAATTTTCTTAATAATAAATGTTCAAAATGGTTAAATCCATTATTATTATTATTATCATTGAAATAATTATACAATTGGTGACTTCTATTTACAAATGCGATCTTTAGCTGCTGTCACAGGGTCATACTATCATCCTAATATTTTGTCAATTTCAACAGCAGAAATTTCTTTCTTTCTTTTTTGAGCTTATCATGTAAACTTTCTTTGTACGATATTTTTACGGTCCATATTTATGTTTATATCATGTCTTGTTTTAAATAAAGAAGTTTCGCAAATAATAATTATTTGTCATCATCTATGCATGACCTAATGCTGTGTTATACCTGTACAATCGTTTGCCGAAATTATTCGCCTATTTTAAAACATGTGGCTTGAATTCTCGGATTGTAATAGCAACAATCCGAGAATACAAGTCACATATTTAAATGAACAAATAATTTATAGTAAGTATCGTACTGCGTAATGTTGTACTGTGTATAAACATTAAATCATACTGCATTGTGCCGTAATATTTTATAAGTTGTGAAGAAACTACTATAAATTAGAACTAAATAACGCTTTCGCATTGAGAAATCGTAAAGTTACCTATAAAATATGTTAAACGAAACACTTTCAGATCTCAATAGGGTTCTTGAAAAAGAACCCGATAATGCCGATGCGTTGGAGATGCGTGGAGCAATCTACGGAATGTTGAATAAATATAATGAATCACTTTCCGATCTTAATAGATCTCTAAAAATAGAACCAAATAACGCCAAAGCATTAAGAATTCGTGGAAAAATTTACGGAATGTTGAATAAATATAACGAATCAATTTCAGATCTCAGTAAATCACTAGAAATAGAACCAAATAATGCCGACGCATTGACGAGTCGTGGAGTAGCCTACTTAATATTGAATAAAAATAACGAATCTCTTTCAGATCTCAATAAATCGCTGGAAATAGAACCAAATAACGTCAAAGCATTAAAAACCCGTGGAGACATTTACCGAATATTGCATATGTTTAACGAAGCACTTTCGGATCTCAATAAATTACTAGAAATAGAACCAGATAATGCCGAAGTATTGAGGAATCGTGGAGTAATATACGGAGTGTTGAAAAAATACAACGAATCCCTTTCAGATCTCAATAAATCACTAGAAATTGAACCAAATAATGCTGACGCGTTAACGACTCGTGGAAAAGCTTACCAAATGTTGAATAAATTTAACGAATCACTCTCAGATCTCAATAAATCACTAGAAATAAAACCAATTGATGCTGACGCACTAAGGTTTCGTGGAGCAATCTACGGAACGTTGTATAAATACGAAGAATCGCTTTCAGATCTAAATAGATCCCTAGAAATAGAACCAAATAATGCTTTTGCATTGAGAATTCGTGGGGAAATTTACACGAAGTTGAATAATTGTAACAAATCACTTCCTGATCTCAATAGATCACTTGAATTAGAACCAAATAATGTCGAAGCCTTGATTAGCCGTGGAGTAACCTACGCAATATTGAATAAAAATAACGAATCACTTTCAGATCTAAATAAATCATTAGAAATAGAACCAAATAATGTCAAAGCATTGGGTTTTCGTGAATCAGCTTACAGAATGATGGGTAAATATAATAAGGCACTCTTAGATCTTAATAAATTACTAAAAATAGAACCAAATAATGCCGACGCATTGAGGGCTCGTGGATTAACTTATAATATGTTGAATAAATACAATAAATCACTTTCGGATCTCAATAGATCTCTAGAAATAAAACCAAATAATGCTGAAGCATTGGTGATCCGTGGAGGAATTTACCTAAAGTTGAATAAATATGATGAATCACTTTCAGACCTCAATAGATCACTAGAAATAGAACCAAATGACGTCAATGCATTGGGGATTCGTGGAGCATTATACATGATGTTGGGTAAACATAATGAATCCCTTTCAGATCTAAATAGATTACTAAAAAAAGATCCAAATAATGTTGACGCATTGAAAATTCGTGGAGAAATTTACAGAATGTTGAATAAGTATAACGAATCACTTTCAGACCTAAATAAATTACTCAAAGTTGAACCAAATAATGTCGAAGCATTAAGGACTCGTGGAGAAATTTACATTATGTTGAATAAATATAAAGAATCACTTTCAGATCTAAATAAATTGCTAAAAATAGAACCAAATAATGCTGACGCATTGAGAATTCGTGGAACAACCTACGGGATGTTGAATAAACATAAAGAATCACTCTCAGATCTCAATAGATCATTAGAAATAAAACCTAATGATGCCGACGCATTGAGGGTTCGTGGAAAAACTTATAGAATGTTGGATAAATATAAAAAATCACTTTCAGATCTTAACAAATCATTGGAAATAGTACCAAATAATGCTTTTGCATTAAGGGTTCGTGGAGAAACTTACAGGATGTTGGATAAATATAACGAATCTCTTTCGGATCTAAATAAATCACTAAAAATAGAACCAAATAATGCTGACGCATTGTGGAGTCGTGGATTAACTTTCTTAATGTTGAATAAATATAACGAATCACTTTCGGATCTCAATCAATTACTAGAAATAGAACCAAATAATGCTGACGCATTGAGGATCCGTGGAGAAGTTTACATTATGTTGAATAAGTATAACGAATCACTTTCAGATCTAAATAAATTACTCAAGATAAAACCAGATGATGTCAAGGCATTAAAGGCTCGTGGAGAAATTTACATGATGTTGAATAAATATAAAGAATCCCTTTTAGATCTAAATAAATTTCTAGGAATCGAACCAAATAATGCTGATGCATTGAGAATTCGCGGAACAACCTACGGAATGTTGAATAAATATAAAGAATCCCTTTCAGATCTCGATAAATCACTAAAAATAAAACCGGATAATGCTGACGCATTGAGAATTCGTGGGAACATTTACATAATATTGAATAAATATAATGAATCACTTTCAGATCTCAATAAATCACTAAAAATAGAACCAAATAATGCCGAAACATTGAAGATTCGTGGAGAAAATTACTTAAGATCAAATGATTACAATAAATCACTTTTGGATCTTAATAAATCCCTAGAAATAGAACCAAACAATGCCGATACATTGAGAATTCGTGGAATAACCTACAAAATGTTGAATAAATATAATGAATCTCTTTCAGATTTTGATAAATCACTAGAAATAGAACCAAATAATGCCGAAACAT